AGACCTCTGTCACCTACTCAAGGTAAAACAGCTAAAAACCTCTGTATATCATCCACAGACGGACGGCCTTGTCGAGCGCTTTAACAAGACTCTGAAGCAGATGCTCCGACGGGTGGTGGCAGAGGACGGGCGCGACTGGGACCTCATGATCCCGTACGTGTTATTCGGTATCAGGGAAGTCCCCCAGGCCTCCACAGGATTTACCCCCTTCGAACTGCTGTTTGGCCGCCAACCCCGAGGCCTATTGGATGTGGCTCGTCAAGCCTGGGAACAGGAGCCAGCCCCCCAGAGGTCGGTGATTGAACACGTACGGGACATGAGAGAACGCATCGAAAAAGTCATGCCCATCGTCAAGCAACACCTGACCGAAGCCCAGCGCGCCCAGCAGAGATTGTATAACCGGCCCGCCCAACCCAGAGAGTTCCACCCAGGGGACAAGGTGATGATCCTCATACCTACCACAACGTCGAAGTTCCTCGCATCCTGGAAGGGACCATACACGGTGGTAGAAAGGGTAGGGCCGGTAAATTATTATTGTCCGTCAGCCGGGACGAAGACGGGAAGAACAACTCTACCACATAAATCTTATGAAGAAGTGGGTTGCAGCTCCAGGTCATCTTGTCGCCTTCGCTGAAGAAACTCTTCCCGTTGTCCACATTGGTGAGCAACTCTCACCAAATCAGAAGGCGGAGCTGCAAGCCTTGGTTGGTCAGTTCAAGGATGTGTTCTCGGAGAAACCGGGCCGAACCTCCATCATCCAACACAACATTATCACTCCTCCTGGCACCATCGTCCGGAAAAGGCCTTATCGAGTTCCAGAGGCTCGCAGGCTGGCTATCGACGAGGAGATCCAGAAGATGAGAAGGTTAGGCATCATCGAACCATCCCGTAGCCCGTGGTCCAGCCCAATAGTGATGGTCCCCAAACCCGATGGCACCCTCCGTTTCTGCAACGACTTCAGGAAACTCAATGAGATCTCCAAGTTCGACGGATACCCCATGCCTCGGGTGGACGAGCTGCTGGATAGGCTGGGTGGAGCCCGATTTATCTCCACCATCGACCTCACCAAAGGCTACTGGCAGTTACCACTCAGTGAAGACGCCAAGGAGAAAACCGCCTTCTCCACACCCGGTGGGCACTGGCAATACCGGGTTCTTCCCTTCGGGCTCCACGGGGCCCCCAGCCACATTCCAAAGAATGATGGACATCCTGCTGAGGCCCCACCAGCCATATGCAGCAGCCTACCTGGACGACCTCATCGTCCACTCAGAGTCATGGGAAGAACACCTATCCCGGTTACGGAGGGTGCTCTTAGATCTTCGACGGGCTGGGCTCACAGCTAATCCCAAGAAATGCCACCTGGGTCTAGCCGAAGCCAGATACCTCGGGTTCCACATTGGACGAGGTCTCATACAGCCACAGCAAAACAAGGTCAAGGCACTACAGGAAACTCCACAACCCACCACAAAGACCCAGGTACGTGCATTTCTGGGGTTAGCGGGCTACTATAGATGTTTCATACCTAACTTCTCATCCATAGCCAGCCCTTTGACAGACCTGACCAGAAAGGGGCAGCCGGAGAGGATAAGATGGACCAAGGAAGCCGACGATGCGTTCCGAGCCCTAAAGAAGTCCCTCACGTCCTCACCGGTACTGCACGCACCTGACTTCGGCTGCCCCTTCATTCTACAGACGGATGCTTCCGACTCGGGCCTGGGCGCGGTCCTCTCCCAGGTCCACGGCGATGAAGAACATCCCATAATGTACGTGAGTCGGAAGCTGACCCCCGCAGAGACCCGCTACGCAACGGTGGAGAAGGAGGCCCTGGCGATCAAGTGGGCAATCCTGGAGCTAAGGTACTATCTCCTTGGCAGGAAATTCACTCTGGTGACCGACCACGCCCCGCTACAATGGATGGCGACAGCGAAGAACAACAACGCTCGGGTCACCAGGTGGTTCCTGTCGCTCCAGGATTTCAACTTCGACGTACAACATCGAGCCGGGGCCTCCCACGGAAACGCAGACGGACTCTCACGGCTCTGGTCAGGATGGGCAGGTCTGTCGAAACATTCTACCCCCCCTCTCAATACACTGCTCTTCCTTCGCAGGACACCCAGGACCAGGACGACGCTAAGGGGGGGGGAATGTAGCGAGCCATGTAATACCACGTCGCCCTGGGCACAAATCCACACCAGCTGGATCTCTCATCAACCTCGGATCGCTCACAGCTGGACCTCATCAGCCAGGGAGAGATATAAGCCAGCCCCACACAGAAGGAAGTGAGCTTCATTTCAGATGACTCCCTGCGCTAACGCTTGTCTCTCTCTGTCTCTCCCACAGCCGAATCCAGCTCGTGACCGATCCAACACCATCCCTCTCACCAGTCTTCACCTTCTCCCCGGAGCACTTGAGCACGCACCTCTAAGAAGAGCACTCATTCACCCCTTTATCACTTGTAAATAAAAGCACCCTCCGGGGCATTGTTTGTAACTTCATCTACGGTGTTTGTGTTTTCCCTCTGCCTCGCTACAATAGTCACACTCAAAGAGAGCAAAGCAGGACAAATCTTCAATAGTTTATAAGGTCTCATTTTGCTGTGTGAATTCAGGATTTTGTTGTAAACTCTACAACAAAAATGTGTCACGCATGAGCAGATATTCCTATCATAGTTGCATGTGTGTTTGGTTTTCATGGTTACTCCCTCCTGAGAATTGCTGTTTTTGCTAAGTTAAGGATGACAACACGGTGTATGAGTTTCCATGGTTACTCCCTCCAGCAGATTGTGCATTGGCTTTGCACAGTCATATAGAGAAATCCTTTATGTGTGTTTTCATGCTTGTATCTGTGTTTGCTTAAAGTGTATTCTGTTAAAAAAAGAAAGAGGCCAAATGATGCGTTATAAAAGGGCTGGGGGTTAGAACTATAACAACCCTTCCTAACCAAAGACCAGTAGAATAATTTAGATTTTAACTACTATGTGTAATTGACATACAAAACATTCTTAAAAATACATAAATTAGATGTTTTAGTTTTAGTCCAAGTATTGGATAGTTTCCTAGTTGATCATTTGTTATCAAAAGTGACTTATATGAAAGGTAAAGGCCTCTAGCTTATGCTTATTTTACCAAAATGAAATATTATCATGCTTTGATATTTAATTAGGACAGAAAGGTCTGACTTTGCTTAGACAAAAATCTTGTTACTTAACAGAAATATGTCATGGTGAAGTAAAAACTACCCCAGACCTGCTCAATAATGTTCATGTCTGGTGACTGGGCTGGCCAATCCTGGAGCACTTTGACCTTCTTTGCTTTCAGGAACTTTGATGTTGAGGCTGAATTTGGAGGAGGAGCGCTATCCTGCTGAAGAATTTGCCCTCTCCTGTGGTTTGTAATGTAATGGGCAGCACAAATGTCTTAATACCCTCAGGCTGTTGATGTGGCCATCCACTCTGCAGATCTCTTGCGCGCCCCCATACTGAATGTAACCCCAAACCATGATTTTTCCTTCACCAAACTTGACTGATTTCTCTAAGAATTGGGATGCCTTCTACCTTCGGTCACTTTTCCGAATGATCAACTAGAAGTCAATTTATTATTTGTTGCTCTTACATCTGGGATTGACGACAAGATTTTGCCAGGAAGCAATATGCCTAATGTGAAACATCACGATGGACGATGCCATTGTCATAGTAGATGGCGGTGAATTAATTATTTATGAACTCATAACTAATTAATTATTTGTAGCCTACTGTTTCAACTACCTATAATTACTGCAGTTCCAACATAAAAAACAAACATGCAAAATGTAAACATTATACTTTCAAACTTGCAACTTTCTCACCATGTTACTATTCATGTTTTTGCTTGCATCCAGATTGCAGGCAAGTGCAAAAAGAAGTGTTTGTAATGAAACGCATTACCATAATGTATTATGCAACATCACAAAATATACAATAGAGCATAATATGATATGATAAATATTTTGTCGATTCAAATATTTCCCAAATGATGTTTAACAGAGTAAAGAATTTTTCACAGGATTTCCTATATTTTTTCTTCTAGAGAAAGTCTTATTTGTTTTATTTCGCATAGAATAAAAGCAGTTTTTAATTTTAATAAACATTTTAGTTATTATTATTTATATTAATTATTAATATATTACTAGCCCCCTTAAACAATGTTTTTTCCCGAACAAATCTTATTTTTGACTCGTCTTATATTTTACCTTATCTTGCCTAATTAACCAAGTTAAGCATTTAAATGTCACTTTAAGCTAAATACTAGCATCTTGAAAAATATCTAGTAAAATATTATGTATTGCCATCATGACGAAGATAAAATAAAGTTATTAAAGATGAGTTATTAAAACTATTACGTTTAGAAATATGTTGAAAAAACCATCTTTACTTTAAACAGAAATTGGGGAAACAAATATACAGGAGGGGCTAAAAATGCATATTGCACAGACCTAATGTTAACCCATGTTCAATCTAGTACACCCAGTGTGTGAATTATACATTGACGATCAGAGGGGTCAGCTGTTTCAGTTAGTTTGTGTGATACATGCTTCAGTCATTTATGTATTTATTTTAAATTACGTGTAGTTTATTTATAAAACTTAATTAAGTTTTCAGCGTTTTGAGGGATATCCTGACCTACAGTATTCTCTGGTTAGCTATTTCAGATGTAGCTGTGGTATAAACTACAAACCATGTCTCTAATTTGATTTGATTTTCAGGCTAAACATAGCTACAACAATGGTTTGAACCGTTATAGGGGCGGTCAAATGTGTTTTTATATCATCTATTATTTTAATTATTAACATTATTATTTAAAGTACCGATCAGAGTGAAATATTTTTTAGTATTAAACAACTGACCCCCCCCAATTGTCAATCTATTGTCAATCCCCCCCTGTAATTCGCACCCTGAGTACACCCAAAATCACATGGCCTCTTTAACTTTGGAAGTGTGCATGTGCGTTGTTTTCCACACTCACTCTGTACCGTAGCGGTCCTGGTGCAGTTGTATAGAATGGCGAGCTCTCCGAAAACTTTCCCAGGTCCCATGGTACACAGTTTCATGCCCTCCTTGGTCACCTCCACCTTGCCGTCTGAAAGCAATCACATAGCACATCCTTAAGTCATTGATGATGCTCTGTGCACGAAAGCAAGCATGACAGTCTGGAAATGTATCCGCGCCGAGTGCCTGGATTGGACCAAGCCTGGCCTAATACATTCCAATAACAGTCTCATTTCATTAGACCGGCAGACATGAGGTGCATGGGGGAGGAGAACGACTGGGAAAGGTAGACGCTCTCTAATGTAGAGAAATAGGCCAGTGAAAAGATGAAGAGAAAAAAAAAAAGGAGGATTAGTGAAGTATTATGCTTGAACTATTAGATGAGATGCAGTGAAACCCATAGTGAGAGGGCCTGGGACTGTTATTTTGGGATTAATGCGTAAGGCACACGCAACTTCCTCTGAGTTCGCTCATGGGAAATTTAACAGCAGTCGTGGCTGAAGAGCTCATCTGTCACCTCACGGAGTTTTCGAATTAAAGCCAAGCTTCCGGGGACTCGACTTGGAATAAAGTAGGTCTGAGAAAGAGCTTCCTGCTAAATGCTGGCAACAGCGAGGCTGCACGTAAAAAGCAAAGATGTTTATGCAGGCTCACTGTGTATATGCTCACAGATTTGATCTTGGATTGTAGAATGTACTGTATTGACTAAGATATAAAAATTAGAATAGTCAGCGTCAATAAGGTGAATAATAACCTTGGATAAAATATCACGGTTTCACGGTATTGTGGTTACTGCTCTAAAATCTACCCTTTTTAAATGTCTGGGTAAAAAAACTGTTTTCCCCTTTGAACAAGATGTATTTTATTTTGAGAAATGTTTAAATTATTTTGTAACCGTAAACATGTCGAGCTTACTAATTCAAATGAATTATTGACTTGTGCTGTCTTCATTATTTCCAAAAACACGGATTTCTTTACAACTTAAACCAAAAATGTTTGAATATCTTTTCTGCTGGAGATACTGTTCTCCTAAAAATAATAATAATAATAAAATAAAATAAAAATGTAAAAAGATGATAAAATATCTTACATGCACATTTTTGGGACTGTCCTAAAACTCAAGAATTTTGGAAAAATGTTAAAAAAGAAATAGATAAGATATTAGAAATAGAAATACCCCTCGATCCAGTTATGTGTTTACTGGGAGCACTGTCCAAAGAAATGTTTAATAAAGAAACAAGATTTGTCCTAAGGATATTATTAATGGTTGCAAAAAAATGATAACAGTACATTGGATGGAAGAAAGTTCTCCAAAGGTAGTTCAGTGGATTCAGAGACTTAAACAGGTCTATATAATGGAAAAAAATGACCGCATGTCTACAAATGAAGACCAATATTTTTCTGAAGAGGTGGAAAAGTATTGTGACATATTTAGATATGTATACTCAGACGTTACTTAATCTATCATCACTGTAATTGAGTATAGTCGTTATTTAATTTATGAGCAATAAGCCATTATAAGTGAAAAGGTGCACCTAATTTTGACACCCACAGACATCGTCACCAAATATAAATCAGCAAAGACTTTCTCATACATAGCCTTTTATAAAAATCTAGGTTTTAAATCAATCTAATAAAAAAAGTTGGCCAGAATTATGCATTATAGGCTTAAGTTATAAAAAAAGAAACAACAGATGAAGCGAGACTGCAGTCAGATCATGAAGCAGATCAATGTTAAGCTTTCTTTCATGGTGTCAGTGCAGAAATGAACAAAACAATGGGCGTAATACAAAAGATTATAAGATTAAAATATTGAAAAAAATATATATCAGACGGTAATTTCCCAATGAATAAACAGCTCTCGTTAATATTCACTTTCGTATTCAACATTGCACATTTACCAGTAAAAATGTCATCCCGCCCTACTCATTATTCTCTCTTCATACATTTTTATAGCTATTATGTAACCATTATACACTGTGATATAGGCTGGTTTGTTAGTTCGTTGGATCGTTTGCTCTCTCACTACAATCGATCTGCTCCAGAGTTCAAAGACCAAGCCAAGACCACCTCATTCAAGCGATCTGACTGAATGATTTGGCGCGGATCCGAACTCGATACCAAATGAATTGCACTAACTGGGCAAACGAGACAGGTTCCAAAACAAATATAGGTGTGAAAGCAATCTAACTTAATCGTTAAACACAAATTTTAAGCGGATTTAACAAAGCAATTAAGTTTTCCCCCCGAAAAATGCAAGAATTGTGTTTTTTCAACTCATTTTAAATAAGTGGTTTAAACAAGCAGCGAAAGCCATTTTTCAGTGTATATTTTAATAAACCCACCCACCTTTTCTTTTTTTTCTTAAAGTAGTATGAGTCAATCTGAAATTCTAATCAGCTGAAATCGAACAGTGAAGGTTTCTCTCCACAGGGAACAAAACACACATTTTCTTCCTCATACTTCCTGGTAAGGCTATACTGCAGTGCTGATGCTATCAGCAAGGCTAATCCAAAAAGCTACAAATACACTGACCCAGAATCAGTCTGCTGTGGATTTATTCTTCTGCCACCTGGGGTCTGTCTAATGACGGACCTGAATCGCCACTGGCCATCCGAGAGCGAACAGCAAGAAACAAAAAACATCCACTTTAAGCCCACCATGAACACCAGCCCACTCAACTCAATGTGTAAATATGATGCTGTCCAGTTTTAAATGTGCAATTTTAAATGAACAATCTTGAGATGTAAGTCAAGTAAGGCTCTAGACTTTGGTCTTTAAATAATTAATATTTACACAAAGAAATGGTATTTGCTGTTTGTTCAGTTTTTTGGGAGACAACTTAGTTGTTCAATGTCTGTTCCACTTAAATTTGTAAAAACTAATAAGTTAACTTGTCCAAACACAAATCGATTGTGTGAACCCAGCATTTTCACCATAAAACGTTAATAATGTGTCAGCTGGGTCTTAAATTGTCTTAAATTTCAAAAATTTAATTTTAGGCCTTAAAAAGTCAGCAATATTGTGTTGTAGGTCTTAAATAATTTTGAACAAAATAATAATTTTAAAAAAGGTCTTCATTTTGCTTTGTCTAACTAAGGCTAGTCAGTTGGGTCGACAACCATCTAATCACCAACAATACATCTCAATAATGTGGAGACCCGGAAGGGACATGATGGTGGGAAGAACAAAAACTGGGTGCAAGAAAAAAAAAACTGGGTGGGAGAAAAAAATGGGTGGGGAAAAAATGGGTGTGAGAAAAATAATGGGTAGGAGAGACAAAATGCGTGGGGGAAAATGGGTGGGAGAGGAAAAAATGGGTGGGAGAAAAATAATGGGTGGGAGTAAAAAAATGGACGAGAAAAAAATGGGTGGGAGAAAAAAGTAATCAGATTGATAAGGAAAAAATCAGATTGATAGGCAAATATATGTTTTAAAGTTTTTGCGTTTCCTTTGCAAAGATCTTAAGTATTTTGTATTTTCCCATATTTTTTTACCTTGAATGCACGTTGAAACTAATATTAAATGTCTGCATTCATTTTCTTTCCATTAAAGCTGTGTGTCAATGGTAGCCCTTCCTATGCAACCTCTGAATTAGTGAATGCATGTATAAGCACTGACTGACTGACGAAAAGTGAGTAAACCTGTTGCTTAAAAAACTTTAAAAACATGAGTAAGCCCATTTAAACTTGCCAATTTTAAGTTGGTTTAACTTCATTTTATAATTATGCACAGTTAATTTACTTAAAACGTTTAAGGCAGCAGGTTTACACACTGAAGTTCAACCAAGCATTTTTTACAGTGTATACACTCAGAAATAATGGAACAAATCAGTTTCTTTTCAAAAAGATGGACATTACAGGTTGACATTAGTACCTTTAGGGTTCACTTTTGTACATTTATGGGACTACAAGGAACACGTTCGTGCTTTGTAGTTATTAATATGTACCTGTAAGGACCTGTTATAGGAACAAAATTGTACCTCCCCAGTGACAGATTTTGCATTTTAATTTCTGAGAGTACAACAGACAAAAATCGAATCAAAACAAAACCAAAAGCTTTGGATGAGATACTAGTCCTACTGTACATACAGGAGCTTCCTTAAGCTCCTGTACTGTATGCACAGTAGGACTAGTATCTCATCCAAAGCTTTTGGTTTTGTTTTGATTCAATTTTTTTGATTTAGATTTTTGATTAGATTTTGTTTTGATTAGACAAAGACCTGAGAAATGTCTTGAAATACAATACATTTTTTAGGTGTGTTATAAGCAGAATAGTTCATTTTAGTCCATGGGATTATTAGAAAATAATGTAGCTAAAAATTTCTAATAATTCAATGGCCAATTGTCAATTCTTATTATTTTTAATTATATGCAAAGCAAACATTCAGTAAAACACTTTGTTACGAGTGAATAAGTGACAGCTTTCAGCCACATCTATGTCTTGCTGTGGGCGGGTCACTTTAGATATGAACAGCATTTGATTGGTCTGAAGATGTGATGAGAAGCAGAAGTACTGTATGTCATAAAATTCATTGATACTGGGAGATGATGATCATTGATGCTCTTTTTTTTCAAAAGGAGTACACTAGCTTATAGAAAATCTTCAGAATAACATATTGATGCCTTATGATTTCTGTGAGGTCATTGGCTGATGCTTTTTATTTTTGCGTCAAGTCAAATGTAACTGCAAATTGAATGTCAAAGTCAAGTCTTGAATACACATTAAAAGTCAAAGAGTCTTTTCTGACAGCTGCTTCACGGTCGTACATCAAGCCGGAGGTAACACAGTTGAAATCTTCTCTGAAGCGAAAAGTTTTATTAGATTTCCATCTTGTTCGTATGGCTTTCTCTTGGTAGTACAATATGAGGAGCGAAAGCAGGCACAAAAGTAGGATGTTGTTATCAGGGAGCTGTGACTATCAGGCTGTTTTCGGGCAGGTCAGACTGACTTGTGCTCTATTATCACTGCCTGCATCCACAATCCAGGGAAATAACCTAGTATAACTGGCAAAGCAAAATGTGGTACGCTTTAGGGCTCAGAGACAATGGTATGAAATGAAATATTGATATGCGCACCCTAAAAGCATAA